CTAAACTATAAAATAATTATTTTAAACATTAAATCTTTTTTTCTTTTTCTTTTTTCTGTTTTTGAATATGGATTTATAAAAAATAAATAACAATCTTATAATTACAAAAATTATAAACTAAAAAATAATTCAAAAACTAATTTAACTATTATCAAAGTCTTCAACCAATATAAATTTAAAAGTCATCAAGTACCAATAACAAATAATCTGGATGCAAGGAGATCTCTGCCTTCACTTTAATCCTTCGAAAGATGCACCCTTATCTTATTCATTTTCTTCTTTTTTTTATTCCATTTTGTTTTCTTTTTTTCTTTTTTTGGCGAATTGGGTTAACTTCTCAACCGAAATTATACCGAAATAAATCATCAACAAAAAAAAAAAAAAAAAAAAAAAATACGAAGTAGAGGTGAACCATCTTGTTACCTCTAATATTAGTGTCAAACAAAGTATGGCAAATATTCAGTTATGCTAAGATACGCTCATATTTTTATTCTTCTCCAATATGAAGGTATTTATACAAGTAAAAAGATGTGTTAACCCTAAATAAAATAGGAAATATATCTAAATTACAATATGAAGTAAATATAAATTACAATAGGAAATAAATCTCCATTATAATAGGACTAGATAAATGGGTAATTAACCAAAGTCCTAACATAGTAAGGAACTCAAATCCTAACTAAGTAAGGACTCGCCAACACTCCCCCTCAAGTTGGGGCAAAGATATTTCACATGTCCAACTTGACAAGCGAGTCATAGAACACCATACTCGGCACTGACCAATCGAACAACTGTAGAGATATGACAAGCGAGTCATAGAACACCATACTCAACATTGACCAATCGAACAACTGTAGAGAATGCCTTGTCATAAACCACAAGTGAAACAACTGACAAATAGGGCACATAGAAGAACACATAAACCCTGTAAGTACGGCAGTAGATAAGGCAGAACACCAAAATCCTATGAGCACGGCAATAGGTAATGCAGAACACAGAAGCCATGTGAGCACGGCAGTAGATAAAGGCAGAACACATAAGCCATGTGAGCACAGCAGTAGATAGGTAGAAACCAAACCCTAAAAAATAGGGTAAGGCAAGGTCAACGGTCATGATCGCAGCGGAAAAACACACCAGCAAAGGCACGAACATGGTAGAAGCAACAACAACAATGTCCCCAGCAAGAGACAACAAAACTGACAACAGTAAGAAAAACACAAGGCACTGGCACTAGCAAGAGCAATATAAGGTAGGGACATAACAGGCATCATCAACAGTAATCAACATTGCTCCCAACAAGAGTCATAATAAGCATGAGCAATAACATTGTCCCCAGTAAGGGACCCAACAGATATGAGCAACGGTACTGGCACCAGCAATGGACGTAGTAGTTAGCAGCAATAACAATGACAAATACTTCCATTATTGCATAGACAACTTCTTTTCACTCCCCCTAGGCAAACAACTGTGGTAGCAACAACAACAGAGACAACTTCTCTTCACTTCCTCTCTCTTCCTGAAGAGAAGAGGTCATCGGAACCATAAGAAAAGTGGCACTTAAGAAACAAAAGTGGACTAACACTCAGATGTAGAAGAATCAGTCATGGCAGATAGGTAGCTGAATTGCAGCGGAATAGATGAGCAGCAGTGTCACTCCCCCTCAAATAAGAGGACCAGAGCGGCTGTGTAAAGGGAACAGCGGCAATGTAGCACGGCAAGATAGAGAGAGACAAAGGCCAACTAGGAGAAGGCTCGGCGATCGGTGACGAGGCTCGCAGATGTTTGAGATGGCTCGGTGAGCAGTTACGAGGCTCACAGAGGAAAGAGATCAGGCAATCAATGGCCAAGGGGCGTGTTGCCCATATGGTATACATTTAAAAGAGAGGCTCAGCTGTGAGCATAAGAGACTGAAACTAACATGGGCTCAATTTGATTTTAACAAAAAGCAAGCTCATAGAGAGATGAAGAGTAAGAGAAAAAAGGCAGCATCAAGCATAGGTAGAGAAAAAGAAAGGTAATGACTCAACATAAACACGGTAAGGACAAAGACAAGGGTAAAATTGCAGAAAGGTGCGACTATGGCTATGGCAGAAGAAATATATGTTGATTATGAAGGAGCGGAGAAACGGGGATTTACAGCAAGGTGAAGACCCATGATGGGTTAGGAATGAGGAACGCCAACGACTCTCAATTTGTCAGAGGATCTCAAGGATTGGCAACGACTCTCAAGGAGACCGCAAACACAAGTCACAAGAAAACCTAGGCTCTTATACCATGTTAAACAAAGTAAGGTAAATATTCAGTTATGCTAAGATACGCTCATATTTTTATTCTTCTCCAATATGGAGGTATTTATACAAGTACAAAGATGTGTTAACCCTAAATAAAATAGGAAATATATCTAAATTACAATATGAAGTAAATATAAATTACAATAGAAAATAAATCTCAATTATAATAGGACTAGATAAATGGGTAATTAACCAAAGTCCTAACATAGTAAGGAACCCAAATCCTAACTTTGTAGGACCCACTCCCTATTGTATTTCACTAATCCAAACTGTCTATTTGTAGATATTCATTCAAATATCATCTCTATAAAAAATCACTTGAATCCGATATTATTTGACCACTCAATTAAATTATTGAATTTTAATACTTTCTTGAAGTATCGTGTTCTTTGATTTTGTATAACAAAATTGGACGTCGAAACGGTTTCCAAGTTGTTTAATTTTTTGCAAAGATGATCTATGAATGTAGATTTAAAAAAAAGATTGTTTGGATCGTTGAAAATTTGTAAGAGACCCTAAACAGTGTTTTTATTTGAGGGATCCCTCAATAGAATAGGACTATATATATAATGATTTTTGAGTTGATAGCACACCAGTACTTTGAGATCATCCAATGAATTTATCCAATATAAATGTTGGATAGAGGGACTCTTTGCACTCAACTCAAATATTTAGATTGATTCAGATGTCTTGAATAACACAAGTAAATACATAGTCTGCCTTAATCACTTGCAGTCATGTAATTCTTAAAAAACAAAAAACTATTATTCTTTATATATCCGGTGATGATAAAGAAAGGGGAATGCAATCTTCAATCTTGTAAGTACCTAATAAGTTCGTTAAAAATAATAATAATAAGTGTAAGCATGCAATCCTCGAATCAGACGGTGCCAATTCTTGAACCTAAGACTTTAGTTTTATCACAAAACCAACAAATCTGAACCAACCTTTAATTTTCTTTCTTATCAATGAAGAATGAGATATTGAAGTTTGAGATTTATTTTATTTTTTTTATTTTATAATATTGTTTAACGTTGAGACTCACCATATAACATAATATACTAATTTGAACGGTATATTTTACAAAGTATATAAATAAAAGAGAGAATTGACGAAAAATCATATTTGACCAGAAACAGAAAATCTTGTGATGGAAGGAGATACTAAAAATATTACAAGATAAATAAAAAAAAAAAAAAAAGTTTGAAAAAAAAAACAAGAAATAAAATAGAGGATGGAGCATTGTATCATGACATGTGTCCCTGAAGGTAAGTGAATCAGCGTCTTTCGTTGCGTCTTTTGTTGAAATGTATTTTTTTTTTTTTTTTTTTTTTTTGTTTTTTGTTTGTTTGTACGGGAAAAGAGAGGACCAAACAAGCCATTATCAGAGCCTATCAAAGAGAAGAAAACGAACTGACGGAGCTGACGCTCTGAAGAACCAGACCAAAGCCACCCCTTTCAGTTTTTGCTGTTTTCGAGGCTAGTTCCTTGGCACACTCTTCGGTACTCTCTCTCTCTCTCTCTCTGGATTTATAGATGGGATATCACAAATTCTATACCGTTGATTGTTGTCCTGTAGTTTAGGAACCAGAAAGAACATACGTTTAGGTACGCAGACTTTGATCTAATCTCAAGCTTAAAGCTTTCATTTTTTTTGTTATGTTCTTTCTGATTTTGAGGAATTGGCTGCTGGGTTTTGTTTCTTGATTTGTTTGGTCAAATTTTGATTTGGGTTATTTGGTATTTCTTGTTTTGGGTCATCTTGTTTGATTTGATGATGATATTGATTGCTCATGAGTTTATCTGGTTTCTGTTTGGTTTCTCGGAAAGTGATGAAATGATTGCTGATATAGTTGACTAATTGTTGAAATTATGTGCATATGTGTTGGAGCTGGAGTTCAGCTTAAGTTGGTGTGGACCGTACGTATGTTCATGCCTGGTAGATTGTAGAATATACAACTACTAATTTCAGATTGCCAAGCAAAACAGCTAAATGTTGTATATGATTAATGTGGTGTTTCACTTGCCTTTGCATGTAAATTGTTTGCTTCTTAAGATGATACGGATTTGACCATAGAAAGTTACAGTAGTCAGATGCAAATTGAAAAATTTGTGTGTGTGTGTGTGTGTCTGGAGTTCATCGGAAAGGGTTTTGCCCAATATTGCATATTCATGAAGGGTAGACTAGATTGCAAAAGATAAACTTCTAATTTCAGATTGCCAAGCAGAAAAGCTAAGTATTGTAATTTGTATATGATTAATATCGTTTTTTGCTTTCTTTATAATGGATATCATTTGCTTATTTGTGATTAACAAAGTTCGACAATACAAAACTACAGTTGTTAGATGTGAATTGAAAAGTTTGTGCAAACACAGTGAAAGTTTTTGCCCTTAAATTTTTGAGATGGTGTGGATGAAGACTTCCTTTCGTAGAGATATGTTGACCAGATGAGATTCAGGGTTAATACAAGTTGAAATATAAGTATATCAACCAATAGTTGGTTTCTTACTTAGTTAATATGTCATCACCAAGAATCAATAGTTGGTTGTTTCTTGACTGATGACTTTATGCTATATTTCTGGAAAGTTCTTTTGTTCATATTTACAGGTTCTTTATGTATCATTTTCCTGTGTTTATTTTCATGCTATCTGTTGCTTCCCAGACTTATAAGTTACTTATGCTTACTTCATTAGGTTCAGGGATAAGAGATGAGTACACTGGATGCAACTAGAGCAGAACTTGCTCTTGCAGTTCTGTATCTGAACAAGGCTGAGGCCAGGGACAAGATTTGCAGGGCAATACAATATGGCTCAAAATTCTTGAGTAATGGAGAACCTGGAACAGCCCAAAATGTTGACAAATCAACTAGTTTGGCACGAAAAGTTTTTCGCCTTTTCAAGGTTAGGACCTTTGTGATATAATTATGTAGAATATGTGGTAAAAACATGCTTTACGACTATTGTGGTCCTTTAAAAATTTTCTTGTGGAAGAACTTGAGGGAAGAAGGATAGTGCTTACCAAATGGTCTCCTTGAAGCGTTTTTCTGATCCTCTCTTGCACTTATTAAAAGGAAGCAAATGGACAAACGAAATATGACACTGATCTTGATTGTCAAGCCTTTATATTCTTGAGCATTTTATGAATTGTCCGCTTGGTTTCAGTTTGTCAACGATCTGCATGGTCTTATTAGTCCAACTCCTACAGGAACTCCTCTCCCGCTTGTTCTGCTCGGAAAGGTATTATAATAATCTAATTCTTTGTCTTCTTATTCTAAAATCTAGATTCTTCTGCTTTGTCTTATTGATGACATTTAATCCGATGCTTTACAGTCCAAGAATGCATTGCTGTCAACTTTTCTATTTCTTGATCAAATTGTCTGGCTTGGTAGAACAGGTATCTATAAGGTATGTATTATCACATACTTTTCCAGTTCAGTTGTTCTTTACTGGGTTCTGTGACACTTATTGGAATAAATGCTTAGAAACTAATGTTTTTTTTAATAGAACAAAGAGCGTGCTGATCTAATTGGCCGGATCTCTCTTTTCTGTTGGATGGGTTCCTCAGTTTGCACTACTTTGGTTGAGGTTTGTTGCTTCCCAACTTGTGCCTCTCATTTACTAGCATGTACTGTTGTTTTGAGATGTGCATGGCATGAACAATGTGTTCCTATTGGTTCCTAAATCAGATTGGGGAGATAGGAAGGCTTTCTGGACAACTTAAAAAGTTGGAGAAGGATCTGAAGAATAGTGATAAGTATCAAGTATGTTGACCCGTCACCTTGTACAATGCATTGACCTTAAAATAATTGTGTTGGTGTAGTTTACTGTATTCTTTTAACATTTTTCATGTGGTTTTTCTGACTGCAGAACGAACAATACCGTGCTAAACTCAAAAAATCAAATGAGAGGTCACTAGCCCTGGTTAAAGCAGCCATGGATATAGTGGTAGCGGCTGGGTTGCTTCAGTTGGCACCTAAGAAAATTACTCCTCGTGTCACTGGAGCCTTGGGATTTACTACCTCTCTGATATCCTGTTATCAGGTTTTTATGCTACCGAATTCTATTAGTGTGTGTCTTTGTGAATGCATAATAAATCTGATGCCACCTTTCTGGCAATCTATGATTGGCCTCGGTCTTCTTACGGTTTCAGATTGTTTAAACTGATAGTCTACATTTGTTTGTGTGATGCAGTTGCTTCCAGCTCCAGCGAAGTCCAAGACAGCCTAAAGAACGAAGTCTGTTTCCTCAATGGGCTTCAGTCTCCTTTTAATAATTGTTTAGAATTGCAATATGAATCTTTGTTAGTGCAAACGTTTGAGCAATTTGCAAACTAGGAGGGTGAACTTAAAATTTGACCTTTTTATTGTCACTATAATTTCCGGTTCAATAGAAATAATATATGATGATGCTCTCTTTCCCATGGATAGCAAAATGATCATTTGACAACTGTATATTGAATGTCTGGGAGGCTTTGCATGCAGATGTGAATTCTATCCCGACCCTTTTTTAATCTTTTGAAGACGAAAACTAAAATTACAAGGAGGGCTCTCTAAAGATCTCTAAGACGGTAAATCAAAATTAATATTACAAGCCACGGTAAAAGTAAAATTAGGAAGCCAAAATATTTTGACTGATTGATTTCGAAATTGAAGCTCATTTTACCATGTTTCTGAATGCAAGAGAGAAACTTGCGTGCTCATCATTTCCTTGTTTCTGAATTTGTTTAACGTGTAAATTTGGGAAATTTTGGGAAACTATCACCATCAACATGATAAATAGTTCAGATTCAGATTCACCAAGTTCAAATGACTTAAATCCTAATTCTTTCCGTTTCTCCACCGCTATCTCCTTTATTTATTTTTAATTAACAATACAACAGAAAAGGAAAACGCCATGAAACAGATCTTAAATATTCACACCCCATAGCCATACCATACTACAACAGGAAATAATAATTACTTTGTATTGCATAGGATTAGTGTTTTTCAGCACATTAAAGAAATAGCTACAATAACAGTTTACGACGCTATCACATTATCACTCTCACTTTGAGTGGCTATATAGCACTCAAAAACCTAGGCCCCGGATGTCCAATTCAAAGCAGGAGGATAGGTTTAGCCGAAAAAGAAAAAAAAAAAAAAAAAAAAAAAAAAAAAAAAAAAAAAAAAAAATACCATAACTAACTAATACATAAGACAATTACCGCAACTTGATACATACATACAGTTAAACCACGAACTCTTCATCCATTCCCTCTTCCGCGAACTCTTCATCCATTCCCTCTTCCGCGTCATTCCATTCAAATTCATCAAAATCCACTCCATTTCCTTGCAACATATTGACAAATGGCAGCATGTCTCTGATATCCCTCTCCAAGTCCAAATCCGCGTTTACATCGGAGTCATTCTCAGGTAAGCTCGGTTGGATGTTGCCCTTGGCTTGCATGTTGTTCTTCAACACAAACTGCCCAGACGGTTCATGAATTTCAACACCAAATGCGGGTGATAACGACTTCCCCTTAGCTTTAACATGAGACACGCTGTAGTATGCAAAAACAATGAACACAAAATTAGAAAACATGCAAAATATACCCTGCCACATACCTGCAACACTGGTCATAACAAAAAAATTGCAATTTAAGAAACAAACACAACTGAAATTCAGTTTAGCTACCCAGTGTCCCGTCATTCTCATAAACAGTTGAGCTACATTCAGATGAGAAAAAGAGGTTTATTCCACTATCATATGAGAAATTCTCTATAATCCAAACATGTGAGAGAACAAAGTAGCAAAATTTCCCCATGTGAGGGGCATCAAATGGCAGGAAACAACCAAGTAGTAAAGTGGGTTATTGAATCAGCTAGTTAAAATGCAAAACTGACACTTCCTGCTCATCTATTCCATTGAGAAATATTCTGCACTCCTCATGGGGTGTAATATTTCTGTCTGCTCATCTATTACATTGTCATGTTTCCATCCAGAAACCCATGTGTCAGCAATAACATTTACCTGCTCTAGAACCTAGAACCTAAAAGATGCCCTTTTCTTTTCCTTTGCATTATGGAATGTTTGTCCATTTTCATTACATCAAAATACAGGAACATAAGAAAGAGGGTTGTTCAAGCCTATATCTTATGATACTGTCAGCTGGTATGATTTTTCTCTCTTATTAACAGAAATATCAAAGACCATAACATGATAATAGGCAGGACATAGTACACTTCTATTTCTTAAACGCCAAAGAGAAGATCACAGACCAACGGAATATATTAGGAGAAATTCATAAATAAAGAAAACGTGTTTCTTCATATAACATACACATACACAATGAATCGTGAGAATTAATTTTGAGGGCTTAAGGTGTCGGCCATAATAATCTTTAAAGACTAAGTATTGAAATGAGTAAAGAAGAAGAGTGGAGCTATTATCAACCCAACAGCCCACTGTTCCCGTTCTTCTTTTTTCTATTTTTTATGAGTCTTTTTTTTTTTTTTTTTTTTTTTTTTTTTTTTTTTTTGAGGGAAAAGATTATGAGCACGAGTTTTCATTCTGTTAAAACATATTACTCAACCAACTCACCAGTACTTCCACAATATTCCAAAATGCGAACCCTACCCCTTTTATATCGGTTGGAACCACATCACCCCTTGAATGTAATAACATTGTTCTACCATAATCAAATATAATATCATGAGAATCAGTACTGGAAGGGGGTCAACATGACTCCTGATCGTCATGTAAAAGAAGTATTAAACCAACCATATAAAAAGAGCCAGGCTACCAGTTGCTAAAAAAACCTTACTACTTAACCCACTCACTCATATTGCCAGGTGTGAATCGTATAACCCCGGCTGGGGTGATACCCACCAGCATAATATTGTAATTAAAATAATGGCATAATTTTAGAATTATTGTGCTCATTTTTTTTTAAAGTTTGTCCTTTCAACTGACTTCAGCAAGGAATAAAATTATATTAAAAAAATTCTCAAAAGGAGGTGGGATGAGAATTTTAAGAATTATAATTGCACTCAAGAAAAATGAGTACATGGCTTCACCAAAAAGAAAAAAAGAGTGGAACTAACCATATATAAAACAAGCCATCCATTTCTTGTCTCTGAACTCTACCCAGAAGCTCAATCTGCAAAAATCCACCTATGCAAAGAACTGGTTCCGGAAGCTTGAATGTCTGCAAGATATTTTCCTGTTTGTAAGGAAGTCATTGGTTAGCTAATGTAAGTTAATTGGAAGATCAGAAAGGTGCTTTAACATTCAAAAAAATGCTAAATAAATTTGTCAAGGGATGTAGATTTAAAATCGATGTAAAAAAGGGTAAATTGAGTCTATAGTCAATCATAAACTTGTGATCCTAACATTCCAAGGCTGCATCAAACATGTATCAAAATCTAAAACTGCAAACCCAAGGTTTCCGGTTTCAAAACTGTAATGAACGTCTACAAGATCCATAATCTGAAAACTTGTATAGTGTGCATTTCACCCATTTTATCATATTTGAAGATTCCTTCTCAATGGAAACAGGAGGTTGCTTTGTCCAAAAAGGATATTATGTATAAAGGGAACCATTTCACAACAAATAAGATACAAATGCAGAAAGGCGGGGGAGAGTTATAGAACAGGTAGTACACACCTGAGTCATTGGGAACACTTGTGAAGTGTAGGTCCATATAAACTTGTCGTCAGGAAATGATTCACCCATTTGATCACTCTCTACATCCATGGGGGACTTGGCATGCCCAAATCGGAAACGCACAGCCTTGGCTGAATATATGGGTTCACCGAGCTGGAAATAAGCTGTTAACAGGAAGAAAGAGAGAGAGAGAGAGAGAGAGGAGAGAGAGGAGAGAGAGAGAGAGAGAGAGAGGAGTCAGAGGTAAGTTTAAAATGTGAAAACAAATTGGAAATGTCCATAATTTCGGAAATTCAAACACTTGCCTTTGAAAGGCTGTATGTTGATTTCATTAATTACAACAAAATCAGACACCAGCTTGTATATCAGCACCTCAGGCACTGCAGGGTCACTTTGACCTTTACTCGACCAGTACGAAGCTCTCCGTCCCACCACATCTCTTGGCTCTAGAGTATTGCGAATGCTTTCTTCTGGAAAATTGTCAGTGCTGGATGCGCTTAATGCCCTCTTAATGGAATCCCCAACATTGAAAGATGTAAAACCAACAGCTAAAAATGCATAGACCCTATGCTCCCTTTCCAAGGTTTCCAATTCCTTTGAATTGCTAGATCCAACTTCTGCTTTTGTGTCAGGGTTGTTGATTTCAATCACTTGAGCAACTCTGGATAGCTGAGGGAACAATCTCAAGCACAGCTTCTTACAAAGACCATTTTCTATCACTGCAAAACATAAAAAGTTCCAAACTCTTCAGTCTCATTTGGTAAGACAAGATGTCTTTGGACTAAAGGGATATAAATTTTCTTTAAAAAATAAAAAAATAAAAAAATAAAAAAACCAACACGGGTTTCCATCATTCAAAATATCAACCCAAAACAGGAGTGAACCTTAATTATCATCTCTTCAGAAATCTGCAAACTAAGAAATTGATGCAATCACAAAGACAACAAGAAGAAAAGATATAAATTGGAGAATCAAGCCAGTAATAGAATATTCAAGGGAGAGCAGAGACAGCACATACTACTTACCACCTACAAACAACAAAAATGGAACCACTTATTTTTCAAAAAACATAAAACATTCTATCTTTCCTACATTGATTTAAGTATTGAGCAACATGCATTGTGTATATCAGACGCAATCAAAAGTGGAGTTATGCCTAAGGAAACTTAAGAAAGCAATTGAACTAAAATATGTCAAACTGCTTCAGCTCACCAAAATGACGCCAAGATCGGGAAACAGAACTAATGCGAACAAGATCAGTTGGATCGTCCAAACAAGTTAGGACCTGTATTGACATGTCAGGTTCAAGCCAGTTCAAGAAATCCATACAGGGACCCATATCAAGAGACTTCAACAAAACTCGGGTGCCTCGTCGGGCCTCAAAGCCTGATTTCACATTGTAAGAGACCCCTCAATACAGTTTAAAATGAAAATTGGAGACAAAAATAAGTATTTAAAAAATATTATATGCAATGCAAATTCCCTCCATGTATAGTGCTGTCAAACTTGACACGAATTACAATTCCTCCCAAAACCACTGAACCCCATCATAAGAACACTGTAAAAGCCAAAATTATAAGAGCTAAAAGCATCCGAATTCCTCACAAGCACAATTAAGAAAAACAAAGAAATACCCACTCCAAAAACAATCAAATTGATCACATTCCTGTCATGCATGACATCAAGTACAGTACTTTTGTGTCGAAGACGACGGCGATGATAACGATATTGGTGGGTATAGGGAAAACCACAAGTTTTTCACATTATCTATGGTTTAGAAAACATTAAATCATAAAACAAAAATTCAAAACTGTAAACTTATATGTTCGTAAACAAAAATGCAGCAAATCGAGGAAATTGAAGCGAACCGTCAGTGGAAAAAAGAGAAATTGGAACAAATCTTTATGCAAAAGAAAATACAAGAGAACAAGTATAGAACTTACAAGAAAGCATCGAATTTTTTACCTTTTGTTCACGAGCAAAAGTGTCTCTGAAATGCTCAAACCCTAAAAGGAAAAGATTGGGGAGAGAGAGAGAGAGAGAGAGAGAGGGAGAGAGAGAGAGAGGGGCGAGAGATGTTAGTGATAAGCACAACAGAGATATAATTACCCAATTAAATCGTTTTGTAATTTTATTTTTGTTGTCTAAATTCATTCGCCGTAAAAAAAAAGTTTAGCAGCGAGTTTAGCATTTCCGGCCGGGTGTCTCAAAAGAGTAGTTTCTATTTTTTGTGTTATTTTATGGTTTATAAATTATTTTAAAAGATAATAAATTTTTGTTATTTCTTTGATGTCTTGGAGTGAGTGGTAGAGAAAATGAGATGTGCTCTTGCCACCTAAGAAGTTAACGAGTTCATTAACAGTCTCGGTAACATAAATTTTTTTTTGCCAAAGTTAGGAAAAAGTAAGGATTTTTTTCACCGCACACTTTCAAGATGTTATAAAAGAATAAGAATGTGAGGTCACTAATCATGTAAATTTTTCATAAGCTTGTGTATGTGCTTGTTGATCTTGAGAAATTAGATACTTTCATTAATTTACTCTAAACTAATCTAATTTATAAAAAAAGATATTCGAACTTCTGTGTAAAAGGTGAGCTCATTACCTCCATCAATTCGTCTAATCTACTTCTGCAAATTATTATTTTTATCTTGTATTACTTTTATCATTTGATATGTGGTAGACCCTACAACATTACTTTGGTTTTGCTCCATCTGAAGGGACACCTTTAACCCCAAGCATTGCTTACTTATATATTCAAAATGTATTTGAGAAAACAAGTTTCACTGATTCTACAGTGGATTCTGTTTTATGAAAAGGAATATAATTCTTTGTTCTTTGGACACGATTGCTTGGTGTGTGAAGGTCCACTCACATAGTATATTCATAATATTGTATAGTTTTAAACTTTTCATCATATAGCCATTGGTTAAAGGAGCAAAAGGTTCTCGGTTTAAGTCCTAAATTCGTGTAATATATGTGAATTTAGTATGGTATTATCCTTTTTAATAAGAAAAGTTCTTAAAATAAAACTAGCCTCTCTGCACGCGCATCCGCGCTTGCGAGAGGCTTTTTTTTTAAAAAAAAATTTATTTTATTTTAGAATTAAAAATAATAATGGATAGTTGTGTTCTATAAAAATAGGATCAATTATCTGAATTTTCTTTTAATTTTAATTTTTTAAATATGAAAAATTATAAATTTATCATATTATCCTCATTTAATTAATAATTTCAATTCTTAATGTTTGCATTAACCAATGTCATTTTCTGGTATTTGAATATTTCACCATTCTCTACCTTTTGTTTTATATATATAGATAATGAGCTTTTTTTCTTACTCCAACCAACGCATCTTAAATATCACTTGTCATGTATAGTTTTCAACTCTCAAAAATTACTTTCGTGAAATCTTACATATTCCTATGGTCCTTTTGGTTATCACTTTACAAATTTATAAAATGATTAAAGTTTTAAGTTAGTAAAAAAATAAAGAGCATTACTTGAGTGGCACTATAATATGATCAACTATAAAACTTTTGTGGCATTTGATGTTAAATTTGACTAAGACATTTCTCAAGATGCTCTATTATATAATGTGTATGCTGCATGATTCTTCTAGTTAGTAATTAAATGTAATACTAACTTTTGCTAGAGGCTAGATCAATCTCCTCTTTCTTTTTTCCTACAATCGATTGGTGGGGGCAGGGAAATCAAGCCTAAAATATCGAGTATAGAGATAAATGTTCTTAACCACTTGAGCTATAAGCCCTTTCCACCTCTAAACTCATATGCTATAAAATTGCCACCTTCTTTTCGTGATATGTAAAGGTAAAAAGCGCAGTTAGTTAACCTTTGAGGTTAATGAGATGGCATGCCCTCAAATGCCCATTCAAGGTACAACAAAAGTAAGGATGAATTAGTGGGTTATTTTTGTGAAAGCAAAGTCAAAAGCTCAAACTCAAATGGAAAAACTTAGAAATGGTTAGGAAGCCACCAAACTGGCAAAGCATAATTTTGCATTGCAAAATGAGCGGGTCGACAATATCCTTCGCTTTGGTTAATATTGCAGTGCAAAATAGGTTTAATTTGGCATTCCATAATCCAGTACCAAGAATGTAGTTGTTTTTGCTTTGCATAACAATAAGCCTAGTTGCTCGAATGAGGCAATTGCAAAAGCTTAATGAACATAATTAACAAAGTAAAGGAACACAAAATTCATTGTGTACAACCTCAAATTCTCAGAGCTTTAAGATTTTTGTTATAACATTTCCATAGATGATTTATTGTCTGCATCACTCTTAGCTAAAGCCTTGTCCTGCTTTCTGTTTCCTCAGCTTTCAAGCCAAAAACCCTTCAGCTGTTACCTCTGCAATAACCTGCCAATTTTGCAACATTCCTTCACCACAGTTCAATCTCATTTATACGCATCCAATCAGCCAATGGCTCTCTATCTAGAAACAAAATAGAGAAGCAAAAATAATTGACAAACAAGGTAATGGAAGTAATGGACAATCTGTTAGTCAATTTCCCAGATGCATGCACAATACAGTTCTTCTGTTGTTGGCAAAAGAAGATCCTGTCGCTTCCATTCCCTCGGCGCCCAAACCAGTCAAGGGGCTTCTCATTCAGTGTCTTGAGGGATTGTGTTAAAGAAAACCAAACTAGATGAGAAGGGAACAAGAAACAAGAAGGAAGCTCTTTGTGGAATGAAATTCAACGATTAATAGTGGTCACAACTCACAATACATAAAGCATTTTCTGCAAACCAACACTTCAAATAGAAGATTACATATACACATTTGACTTCTAAAAGACATCAGAAGCCCCTAAACACAACCACTAATTTCATTCTTAGATCTGCCGCTCATCCAAGGGGCTGCACACTTCCTATAACTAGTAATTTGCAGCTCTACCTGTCTACAAAAACAAGCTAAGGCTCTTTTGCTACACCACTAGGGTATATTAACACAGAGTCTACGCAGACACCGCCTTTGGTGTGAGTGCAATCGATCTGGGTCATCGAATATTTGATCTTGATCAAAGCATGAGGATTGTCAACAACAAAATCTCCCACATGGTAATCGACCCAGTTTCCAGGATTATCCAAGTAACATTGGGATACAGCACGGTGACCATTAGAAGTTGATAGCTCGAATCTCACTGGTTTTTTGTTCCAGCCATGAACATGCTCAGAATTGCATACTCTGCGACCCAATCTCTTCGAGGATCTGCCAAGGTGGAGCCTAAAGAACAGGCTGTATTTACCTAATGGAAATTGAAACTCAAACTCTCCACCGACTTCAAACCACCAGGTTTGTTGGAGATAGGCGACTGTCTGGAATCTACACAATTGGAAAAGAAAACACAACAGATAAGGTTCTTCTGTCATTTAGATTTTATGGCATAAGACATATGATCATTATAGAAAGATTACAAATCAACAAGGTACGTAGCTTTGCAAATATCGGGCAAAGATGACAATTGAAGCTCTGGCTGGTTCCTGGCTCATCAAATTTCTAACATAAGTACTTTAAATACTCACCTAGATTCATCAATTGCTATGAAATTCCAATACCTCCTATCATCTATCCCTGTAATCGATAACGCCTTCGAAGAAATCGACAAACAGATACCACCCTTGTGTTTATCTAGCCAAATTTCCTTCACAAAACAAGAAAAGCACCCAAATTAAATAAACTAAATTTACTTAAATGCAAAATGAACCTTCCTAGAGAAAGAGGAAAAACAAAAGCAGTGTAGACTAAGAAAGTTACCTTTGTGCCACCATCAAAGGACTTAGACCTGCAAAGCCTGGCATAGATATCCCTCTTCCCTGAAATTTTCAACTTAGTATTTTCATCAAACACCCTGTCTACAATAAACCGATAATTCGGTGGCAACTTCGATTCCCAGATGAAATCGGCCGATGAAGCACCGCGAAAAGCCCGGTTCAACCGGGCCAATTTGCAGATCTCGGGAGGGTCCATGTTCATCAAAACCATTGCCACACAGCTCTCTGGTAAATCCCCAAGCCTTGGCTGCACCAAACCCTCCCTATCCGAAACGTTACCGGATAAATTAGCACCCATCCCCCACCAAACCCCACCCGAAACGAAACCGAAATCCCGGAACACGAATCCGAAATTAGACTATATATACCAAACGACACAAAACCCAGAATCTGTTTTTGGTCTAATCCTTGAGTTTGAACCTGAATTTGTAAATCTTTTGGGAGAGATTTAGAGAGAGAAATGTGAAGCAAACAGAGTCCAACCCTGAATTCAGATTCAAATACATGGGCTTTTCGAAACCCAGAAACTAAAATCTGAAATTGTAAAACTCTGGAATCTAATTCTAATCTAAGCTAAAATCCCAGAAGGAAAAAACAAAGACAATAAGCTGAATCTTTGAAAGCTCAAATCTTTGGTGGGCGTTTTTAGAGGGAGACATAAATAGCAACACGCCCCCTGAAAATCTGAACTTTGAGGATCAAAGATCAGGGATTGGACTGACACGTACGGTCCAATTTCTTCTTCTTCTTTTTCTTTTTCTTCGTTCTCCCGGAGACGAATTTTTCGGGATTCTGATTTGGATTTCTGAGGTCGACGAAGAAGCAAAGCAGCAGCTTATTAAAACAGTGAAACCTCGTACGCGCGCTCTGTTTTCGGAGTTTACCGCGGTCAATTGGTGTTGGATGTTTTATGCCACGCTGTCGTCAGCGCGTGGTGGAATTTGGTTTGATTAAGAACTGCCCACTTGCATTCTTGGAGCTTTTACTCTTTTTTCTTCTTGATTTTTGGAGGATTTTTCTTTTTTCTCCTACGTTTTTTTTGGGATGTTTGTTAATGATGTTTTTTTTTGTCTCAATGACTCAGAAGATTTGTTAAAGATGTTATGGATAACAATGAATTAGATAATGCTCCTTTTTGTCTAATCATGCAATTATCTATCTTTTTTACTATTTAAATTGCACATTAACATTTAATTAAACTGTTTTTAAGAAATCGAGAATGTAATTAGAAACTTGAATATATGGACGAAAGTGAAACTCATGAAAAATTTACAAGTTCATCAAATTTGATGTAATTGACCAAATTTGAGAGTTCGCAAACCATAAAGATCAAATTCGATGCAATTAAAAATATATGGACAAAAGTGAAACTCATGAAAAATTTACATAGTTAACGATGTCGCATTAATCCTTAAATTGTGAAATCAACTTGTGTTGTCTCCACTAGTGTCTCCACTTTCAATATTTTTCACCTTCTTGGTGACAAGTAGCTCTCACATTTTATCTTATTATCTCTTGTTCATTTCCTAATGCATGTCATGATCAAATCATTATATAATCTCAAGTGGTTTGTATTAATGCACTTAAAACAAATGAAAAGTGCAATGGCCTTAACCTATCTGCCGCCTTATGTAATTTCTTAAACACATGAAGTGACAGGTGTAAGCCAAGCTATGTGCCTGTGAGTTGTCTGAATTATCCATTCACATGTTTCTCTTATTTCTTTTTATTTCTTTAATTTTTATTTTAATGCCAAGTGAAAGAACAATTGTTGGCATTATCAATATGGAACTTTTGACAACTCTTGCCAGCATAAAATATGGTCAGGCGATGATGAACTGTATGTTGTCATTCTCTAGTTGTTTGGATTTGAATTAGAAGTGTTTTCTATTATTTTTATAGGTTTTGAAATTTTGAAGCATTCAATTTGTTAATTCAAATATGTTACATGAGATAATCATGACTTGCTATTAAAAATTTTGAAGCTCCAAAAAGGTGACATCCATAGTAACATACAGGCATCATGAAGGAGGATGATAACACCTATAAACTTTATGATGAGTGGCATACTCCACAAAAACATAGCGAAGCACACAAGGATCAAGTTTGCTTCGTTGGTTTTTATGCAGATGAACATACGCCACTCAGCCAAATACTCATGGTCTGAGCATCAAGATAGAGGGCATGGGCTCTTGTTGAGCAAGCACTTGGATCAGAGTACGATTGAGCAAATAAATATTTGTGACTCTGATGTGATCTTAGCTCTACATGTGGTCAACTATGTAATGGCTCCATGTAAATGGGCGTGTTGAAGAATATAAGTCCCATAAATATTCCCACCAAATCTAATTTGTAATTATCCATATATAAAAAATAAAAAAACTAACACCGACCATGCTTGTTGAAAAAGATGAACTAACTAATTAATCATGTCATTTTAATGCTACAGCACTAACTTAAATCCCAACTTTTAGATATGAACGCATGTGGCAACTATTTTGCATGTGAGAGTTTTTCTTTGATCCAATTAACTTCCCAAGAAAAAATTGTTCTCTGGACCACTACTTTTGTTAGATGAAACAAATAAAAAATACAAATTTATAAATAAACCCAATCTTAAATATGTATTTATAAAAAAATCCAAGCACTATTTAAACATAGAAACATACTCAAAATCAACCCCAAAGTCAACTTTTTGGGTGTGTTTATAAATGAGTTTTGAGTGTGTGTAATAATAGGTTTTGGGTGTGTTTATATGTTTAAATAGTGCTTTGATTTTTTATAATTTCAACTCCCATTTTGGGTGTTTTAGTGAAACTTCCAATAAAAAACAACACTAAAGGCTTCTTTAAATAAAGCAAAACAAAAGCCAGGATGATTCTTCTGCATGGCGTAGAGTACATGTAGAAATAACTATCGTCATCTTGGGTCCAAGATAATGATAGCTTTCATTGACCGATGCTAACACTGATATATATATATATTATATAAGATAAATATGTGGAGCTGAGTCAGCAAAACCTTGTGGATCAGGTGGCACTCATTATCATGCACGCAACAGGGGAGAGAGAGAAGAAGAAGAAGATCTTATCCATTAACATTGGCTCTGTGTGTCGAAGTAGTCAAAATGAAGATTATGTGTGTCTGTTTGTTGGGCAATATTTCAGTCGCGGATGATAAAACACTAGAAAAGCAATATAAATTCATGAATGACCATGATTGTGATTAGACATAACTCATTTTAAGTTGGTTTTAAGCTACTAAATATCTGACTATAATTGTGGATCATATTCAGTCGTATAATCTAATCCACCAAACGAGTCGAGATTGATTAGAAATGAAACTTGAATGCATAACTATGTGTGGGGTTGATGAATTTAGACCGCTCGTTTTCTTTGCGCTTCATAACCAGGGAGTACTGTACTGGAGATATTATTGGATCCAAAGGTACGACTTTGGGTTACAGCTAGAAGGATGTGACTCTTATATAATTGCAGGAGGTAAATGTTAGGCATGAAAAATCTGATTTTGTTGAACCATCGTATCTTCTTGAGTTCTGTCAATTTGGCCATAAAATACAAGGGAACACCAAACACCAGCCAACCCCACAAGAGAACTGAAAAAGAAAAACCAAAAGGTAGTGGGGAACTGATGATCACAAATCAAGACCAGGGTTAGGTTAACTTAGGAGGAACAAGTTGGCTTCCAAATGTGGAGCACCCTGATTATGATAGTGTTTGGGGCCAAGGGTGATGGGATTAATTGAAGCTTCTTGCATATACAACTAAGGGGGCATAGGGTGATGATGGGATCATTTTCCATCACTACAATGTGAATTTATGTATATTTCGATACATTTAATAGAAGAATCAAGTTATAAAATAGATTATTTATTCAATATGTCATCGATGTAGTCATTTTCACTAATAAAACGTACTATAGATTATCGATACAGTTTTTTTATTTATAGTAAATGTAAATAACATACATTCTGCACAGAGAATTATTTTACGTTTTTTGGCACAAGCGATTGGGGGAGTTTGCACAAATATTAATTGGGTGTCTAAGGATTTTGAATCTCTACCCACATAAGTGGAGGTGTAAAAGCTCAACTAACTGAGCTATACCCCCACTCCATGCACATAGAATTTTTGTTCAAATAAATTACGGGTATTTGCTCATGTGTAATATATGACAGCCCAAGACCAAAGCAAACCTGGGTGGATCGGTCCTTGAGCAAGCCTTCATGCTGCATCTCTCTCCCAAGGTCTATTTTTTCAGTTCAGCCTCTCTAAATAATAAGGGATTGTTGCTATTTTGAGCCCATGAAAAGAGTCATATGGCCTTTTTGTCCCTTTATACGATTGTGGGAAGCTTCTATAATGAGGAGCTAATGTTGAAGGATTACAATGAGGGGGGCACAATCCAATAATAATTTTTCATTGAATCAAACGACTATTAAAGACCCTCTCATTATAACTCCTCACAATAATCTCAATGTACAATTGTATTGCGTCTATGGCCACCTAATTTCTTTGGACACTAGTCCCAAAATTATAAGATTTATTTACTCACTCGTGTCTATGGCCACCTACTGTAGTCTGTGTAGAGATAACAAGTTAACCACTTTTGATGTAGCTCTATAAATAGAATATTTTAAAAGTATAGTTAAGTGGCTATACTCTTTAAATAGCATAATCCGGATTTCTCTTTTTTAATTACTTTAATTAGTTGTTATGATAATAATTAAAACATAACAACTAATTAAAGTATTTAAAAAAAGAGAAAACTAAATTATGATATTTATAAGGAATAGCCGGCCGGCTATACGTTTGAAATATGCAATTTATAGGGTATAGCCGCACGGCTGTATGACTATAATATTCTAATCGTATGGTATAGCCGCACGGCTATACGTATACCTTTGAAACATTCTAAGCTTTAAAGATATTTTCCACATTGAACCAATAATAAAAATATGAATTTATATTTGCCGGATTAGAACTTTCCCGAAGAAACGTCATCAGAAGAGGTTTCTTTTAAAAATAAATATAAACTTAGTATCCTTATGCCAATAGATTTTTTTTTAAAATTTCTTTTTATTAATTAAATCATACCTTAGCCTTATTTAGTTACTTTCATTAGTTATTATATTTTAATTATTATTTCTTTAATGAATAATTAGTACTTAATATTTTAATTAACTTCACAAATTATATTACTTAACACATAGTGTTTAATTTTTTAAATATTTTTATTTAATAAAATATTTACAAACTAATTATTCTCTAGGTAAAT